GAGAATAACTAAGTATCAGGAGAAGGGTCAATACCCGTGATCCAACAGAAGAAAAAATGGGACCTAACTAGGAAGGGCCTTACAAAGTGATATCAATCGGGGGCGCCGGGTCATACAGATTAGAAGGCATGGATGAAAAACTTGTAATGCGACCATAGAATGTTATGAATCTAAAGAAATATTACTTTTGAAGTATTCTCTCCCTCAAGTGCTTGCCAACGACAAAGATAAAGGGCAAGGCCCTAGGGACAGAGTTCAAGGGCTCCTGTCCCCGAAGCAAATACAGGAGCCAGCCTCCTGGAAGGACAAGGCCCTGGGGACAGAGTTCAAGGGCTCCTGTCCCCGAAGCATATACAGGAGCAAGCCTCCTGGAAGGGCAAGGCCCTGGGGACAGAGTTCAAGGGCTCCTGTCCCCGAAACAAATACAGGAGCAAGCCTCCTGGAAGGGCAAGGCCCTGGGGACAGAGTTCAAGGACTCCTGTCCCCGAAGCAAACACAAGAGCGTGCCTCTTGAATGGGCGAGCAGCCCCGAAGACAGTTCCAAAAAAAAAAAAAAAACAAAACACTACTGTACGCAAAAAAAGAAAAAGTACTCATGATTTATTTCAAGAAGAGGGGCTTTGCGTCCCCAAAGGCTACAAAAGAAAAAAGAGTACAATCAAAAAGAAAAAGGGGCTTTCATCTGGCCCCGGGCATCTCCACAACATCAGCCGAGGGCGAGTCAGCATAAAAAGGTTGAGAAGCTTCTGGAGCAGGCAGAAGGAGAGGTACTTCGGCAACAGAGAGACCTTGAGCAACATGAGGATCAGGGGCATGGTCCGGCGGGGCCTCTTCGGACAAGTCCACTATCACTGCCTCGGGCAGATCCGCCGAGACTTGCACCGGCGTTGGGATCTCATCCTCGGCAGCAATCTCTGCTTCGGCCCGTTCCATCTCCGCCGAGGGCACGTACTTGTGCATCTGGAAGAGCGGGGAGTCTGACGGGATTCCAGCAGACTGGAGCGCCTCGTCCCACCCTTTCTTGAAGAACTCCTTGCTGTTTTCCTCAAGAGCAGGGAGCACGTCATCGGCGAACTCTTCCCGGAGTTGCTCCTCCGACTTCCTGTTCAGTGCCTCGGCTCTGATCCTGTCCAGCTCCTGGGTGAGAGCCAGACAGCTTTCCTCTGAGCCAACCGCCCTCTCCTCCGCGGCAGAAAGCCGCCGCGTCTGCTCGGTGATCCTCCCCTCAGCATCGGCAAGGGCAGCACTTAGCTTTTCAGCGCCAACCTTAGCCGACTCGGCATCCTTGAGGAGTTGTTCGATTTGAGCAGCCTGCCCCGCCAGGGTAGAATCCCTGGCAGCTACGTCCTCCATAGCTCGGGCGAGGGCCCCCTCCGCCTCTTCCTTCTGCTCTCGGGCCCGCTGGAGGTCCATCCTAGACCCATGGTACCGCGCAGCTATTATGGAGATCTGTTGGGTAGCCTGCAAAGGAGGGAAAAAGGCGTGTCACAAAAATGGAAAGCGAGAGAGAAGAAACCAAAGCAAAAATGAACTTACCACCAGGGAATTCTGGATGATAGAGCGGAACAACACGTTCGTTGATCGCCCCCTGTGAGCCGCCATGTCAGCCTCGAAATGCAGTGTCTCACTCACTGCATTGGCGACATGAGGATCCAGCAAAATGGAATCATCGACCCTGATCACTCGGTTCATGTGATCGGTGGCTCGGGGATTCCACTCCGCGGCTTCCACTGTCGGCGGAGGGGAAGGGGGAGTCTGCTGCTGCCGTTGTTGCTGTTGTTGCTGTTGTCGTTGCTGTTGCTGTTGCTGCTGTTGCGGAGGAGCAGGGGGTAACCCACGGCCTCTCCCGCTTTGCTGCTGAGCGGAAGATGCCCTGGATCCTCTGCCGAGGCCATCGTGCCTATGCTTGACCCTTCTCTCCTCCTCTACCTGAGGATCCCGGTCACGCACTTGACCCCGACTGAGAACCCTTGAGGATGGGGTGGAACTGGTCCCTGCAGATGGGGCGTCGCCGGTCGATCCTCGTCCCCCTCCCGGCAGCAAGAGCTTGCCTCTGCCTCAGGAACCCCAGGTCAATACGAGGCGTGCTAGACATCGCGACCTCGAGGGCGTCCTCGGAGTCTAGAGATTGTAGAACTTGGAAGTCCGGCCACAAATCTCCTCCCGAAGTCCCCACCTCGGCGTCCGAAGGAATAACGTCCTCTTTGACCCCGAGCTCTTCAACTACTCCCTCTACCTCTGCTCCGAAGCCCGATCAGGGTCTTCCTCCAAGTTTTTCTCGACCTCTTGCCTCGCCGCCTGATCGAAGAGTTCAGACCACCGCGAAGGCTCAAAAGGCTGAGGAAGCTGTGAAAATTTCTTATACCCGGGGGTGTAATTCAGCAGGATGTGGGCAGCCCGGCCGAACTAGTTGTCACCAGTAAATCTCCAAACCGTGACTAGGTCGGCAAAGTTCACTAGCGACCGAGGGGGAGGAGCTGTTTCCCAAGCAGAGATATCTGCACAAACAAAAAAGTAGTCATGAGCATCAGAAGTCTGGAGAACAAAATAATAAACCCGAAGGAACCGACGTACTTGACGTTCTCCATTCTAGAGGGCATAACAAGCCATTATACTTGGGACCAAAACCTCTCTGCCAAGATCCCTTGAAAATAAGAATATCGTCCTTGTACCCCTTGTCCGAGTCGGGAAGATGAGTTACAAGGTACATGGAGGGGTCCCTGGCTTTGAGGTGGAAGTGTTGGTGAGGCATGACTCTCAAGAGGGAATAACAAAAAAGGAGATCGTTCAGCCCAATATTTACCCCGAGGCGCCTATTGAGCTCTAAGACCCCCATAATTATTCTGAAGACATTAAAGCAACACTGCCCGGGGAAGAGGCGGAAGTGAGAGAGGAACTGGAGAAGTAAAGGGGGTAAAGGAAACCTAATTCCGCCCTCTATTATGGCCTTGGTATAAAAGGGCATAGCATCCTCGGCCCCAAGGGTAGGAGTGTGCACCACCGAGTCATAATCTTCTATGTCTATGCACGGGGGAATGCCGTACTTGACCTTAAACCTATTAATCTGCTCACCATCCTTTACTTTATACTTCCCCGACCCCGAAGAACCAGCCTGAGGATTCTCGGGAGCAGGGCGACGACGAGGCATCTCTAAGAAAGTGAGAAAGTGGAGGGTGTTTTTTTCTTAAAAATCCCTGAGGAAGCTTCCCGAGGATTAGTCGCTAAGTATCAACCGGAGACACCTCCAGTCATCGAAAAACAAAAAGGGATAGGAGGAAGAAAAGAAGAAAGAAACTAGAACTCACCCGAATGCCAAACGGAGTTTTTTCTGGAAAACTTTAGGCGACTCCTTCCAGAAAGTTCAGAAGCAACGATGGGTCTGCTGGCCTTAGGACTTTAAGGAAGAACAGGCAGTTGACGATGGAAGAGGAAAGAGATCTCCGGCGAAGATTCAAGAAAAGGCTCTCTTGAGGAAGTTCGGAATGGCGAAACAAGAAAATGGAAGAGGAGCCCCATTTATATAGTGGCAATTTCATCATTGGGCACGAAAAACGAAACGACGCATTTAATGCACACGACATCCCAAGCGGGGGAAAGCGGCTCGAGGCAATGATGAAGCATTGGTGGTTGTTGGGAAACCCTTCGTCTCCTTACGACGCGTGCCCTCGGTGTTAGAAGATCGAAGGCTGGGGGGCAGTTGATGGGACTTTTCTGAAATGTTCCATGATGAAGACACGTGTCCTCGGTATTACCAAAATACTGTTGCTAAGATCAAGCACCATCGGCGCACAAGGTCCTCGCCCCCGAGGTACTCGTCATATAGGATCATGACATTCAGTACGTTTTACAACCAACACGTAGCCTCGGTCTGATATGGTACCTCGGTCGGTATCCCTCCCTCGATTCCGAGATGAGCCTTTCCTCGGTGCCGAGGTGTACCCCGTCCTGGACGCCTCCTCTACTCCAGGATAAACTATTGACGTACAGGTCATTAGCCTAGGCTATTCATCATGACCTCGTCTTACACAATTAGTGTCAGAACGTACTGGAATGCAGGGGCCACAGCCAACGGGGGATGGACGCGTGGCATATAATATCACATCGAAGACAGAGAAACTGCATGTCGTTGCTGACACGCGACTTGGGAAAGCAAATGATTAATTACACCATTCCCTTGATGAGACCGCATTCAATGCGGTAAGGCTCGGAAATGAAAGGCAATAAATGCTCCTAATACAGAGCATTTATTGCATCCTCCCCGAGAGGAGTACATTGTACCGTCGGCATCCCGATGACCCAGCATTGATTGCTCGAGACCCCGAGCAGTTAAGAAGAGAAGACATTCCTCATCAGAATCAGTGCGCACACTGTCTGTACCTAATGATCACCTACTGACTACACTGACAGCAATCATGAGCTTTTGAGGTATAAATACTCCTTGCAAAAGGCAAGACGGGTATGCAACAAAAAACTCTTTACTACAATACGCACTCAGTGTTTTCTCCTTCCTCTCTCTTTCTCAAAGACTGACTAGATCGTCGGAAGGGATACGCCGGAAAACACTCCGGCGCCCTTTTAACTTGTTCTTCTTTGTTCCAGGGACCTCTTTCAGCCTTACTGAATCGTTCTTCCGCTCCCCCAGGGTCTCCCGTTGCCGTTCCAGGTTATCACTGGACCTCGCAGGCTGTTCCAAGCAGCGTGGTTGGTCACTCAACTGGCTCACTCGAGTTCACCAAGGAAGAGATCTGTTCTCGTTTTTTATATTGTGCAAGATCTTGCACGCACAATCAGTTACTTATTATTTGTAGATCAAATGGTAATCAAAGCAAGGTAAAATTTCAAGGATGATAACTGAGGTGGGTTCCAACTGCTTCGGTAAATTGGAGCTTATGTATGGCATAAATTATTCAAAATTCTTCAGATATGCGATACTTTTCTGAATCAGTTGCCAAGAGTAGTCACAATTCAACCTGGATCGTCTAATGGTCCATATGAAGTACTTTCTCAAAACAAAATGAAACAATAGCAGGACCTGCCAAATCGCCAATCACACATCCTGCACAAAACGCATCGACGTTAGGATCATCATTTACAGGATATGACGGCATAAGCTAGACACAAAAGAAGCTGCAATATACTGATAGGCGATGTGCTTACCAATCCACTGACCAGATGAAGGACGAAAAAGTGTTGCACCTATCCCTGCCCCAATAGAAGCAAAAACAAGTGACGCACTGCACCTGACAGTTGTACCATATATTTTCTTCACAAGAAGCCGAATTTGTTCCGCTTTATCAACCTCTTCATTCTCTTCTTTAGAGTGAAGCAAACAAGAAAAGAACCGATAAACATCAATGCCAACTTGGACAAGCCAAGATGCCAAAACTCCCAGAAAATGTCCTGCTCAGATGTCACAGCATGGGCACTAAACAGTGAGTTTACGGCTCAAGTACTCAACCACTATGGGTAAATCAAACCAAATTTCAACATTTTTGACCTCTGAAAGTTGTTTTTGTCACACTGAAGAAATAAACTACACTTGGCATTCCCCTTTCCGCCTTTCGCGTGGCTGATTTGGGGACATCTGCACTAAAAGACTACTAGTCAGCTGCTTGGAAACGTTAATTTGTAGGCACAGCATACATGGTTATGGAGAGAGAGTACCCTTGAGAAGTTTCCAGGCCATACGGTGTGAAATATAATGCACGGCAAGTCTCTCCAGAACCCTTCTAGTAGTTACAACAGTTGTCTGAGATGTAGTGAAACATAATTCAGTTAACTGGGTCCATCAAAAGATCAACAGATCAACTAAACAATCTCAAAACACATCCCAAATATCAAGACAAGAAGCCAGCAACAATTAGAAAACAGTGAAAAGATGGAAAGTCTCAATAACTCCCCCATACATGAAAGATGGATAATGCAGAGATATCTGTAGGAAAGGACACCGCAAAATGGATATACCCTTGGCACAGAATTTGCTAAACATGGATCCAAGTAATGAATGGTTTAATACATTGCAGATTCAAAAACTTTATGACAGCTCTGTTTTAATCAAAATAATTATGAATCGGAAAAGTTATCCAGTATATATGTAGCAACATGATCAAGGTAGGGAATAATAGAGTGCTAGTGTTGCAAGAAGAATTGAAGAGACCACGAGAATACAATATCAAACCTGTCATTTCACTTTTAATATATATGAGTTACTTAGCACATTAAAAAGTTCAGTCCCCATGATGTACATCGTATGCCAACATCTGACATTCAACTTCATGCCGAGCAGCAAGAGGGGTGCCAGGAGCGGGAGCTGCCATCGATATTTTTTCCCATCTGCTTTTAGAAGTGAGATGTCCCTACATCCACTGAAAGCTCGGGAAGGAAGAGATACTCCTCCTTCAGTTATCTTACCACCAGATGACGGAAGGCTTCACTAATGGCATGGGGCATGAGAGGGCTAATTTTTATCATTCCTTTCGATGGACATAACAGGCCACTTGAAGTCCGTGGCTATTGGATAGGAAAAGAGGAAGAAAAAGAGAATTTCCACTTGAAATATCAATGGAATTGGAAGACAAGAAACTCTAAAGCTTATTTTCACATCTTTCTCACTTTCATAAAATGACTTGACTGAGACAGAACAAATGGATCTACCAATGGCATCTATACAGATATCGAAGAAGAAAACAGGTTCAGCTTTATTCAGAGATCTATGGTCGAGATAAGAAGAATTCATCCATGGGATTGAACATTAAAAAACACAAACTCAAGAACACTGAAAAACGAAAATAGGAATTTACATTTAATATTTAATTAAGTGGATCAAACTAATTATTGTTGATCAAATCATAAGGTCCCCATATATGTTTTCAATCTAAACACAATCATAATCCCAAGTAGGTAAAATACATATGCATACACTTATTATTCGGCAATGTTTGGTAATTAAATTGGTCTTCAAGATGTAATTTAATAAAGAATATGGACATCGAGATCATTACCCATTCACCAATTATGTTCAATTCTGACTTCATTTTATGAGATGGGAGAACTAACAATGGTTTAAGATTCAGCTAAATTAACAATTTTAATCTGGACTTTAAAGTGAGAAGCTCTTTTAGCTGTAAACTTATCAAAAGTCTAAATTTTTCACTCATTGCTTGACTATGGAATAACCTGCTACACTACAAAATTGATCTTTGATGACAATGGAGACTCATAGTCATGAATCCATGTAAATGTAAATTTGCTGATTTACTATAGTACTCCAAAAAGGCAAATTTAGAGAGTCATAATTACCTCCCTGACAATTTGCTTCACTGATTTTTTGAAAGGAACAACCAAATCCACAGGGTGCTCTTCCGGAGTATCTTGTAAGAAGTCATCATCATCCTCTTCCAAGTTTGAATGAGGCTCCAACAGAGGCAAATAAAACAACAGGAAAGACCTCAATGATGTCAATGTAAGGGACTTCCAATGAAAAGCTGAGAAGAAAGGTTTTAGCTCGATTTTGTACTCTTTCGTACTGTATTTCAGGGCATCATACTGAAAGATATTTCCAGACACATGTCGTACGCTAGAGATGTAATCTTCATTTAGTTCTGCCCCAGCATCACAGTGAGCCACTGGTGTCACAAAGTTACTGTATCATAAACGTTATGTGGCAGTGGTTAAGACTTTCCTCATATTCACACACATATAACCAAAGTAGAATTCGTTATCAATGAAGAGTATCTCCTAAAATGAAATCCTTAGTAGATTATTCAAGATATTAAAAAACCCATATCAAGAATCATTCCCCTGAAGTTATAACAGTCCAAATTCCAATCAAGAAGACAACAACATCATGTTTTTGTGGGAGAATATTCAATGATGCAGAATGGCGATTAGACAAACTTGCCAAGATTTTGATAAAACCTAATCCATATACCACTATACTACTGTGTATCTCTGTGTGTGGAGAGAGAGAGAGAGAGAGAGAGAGGTGGGTGTACCCGAACACCGTCCTGGAAGCAAAAGGGGTGGCGGCAGCGACAGAAGCAGCGGCAGTGGAAGCAGCGAGTGTAGCTGATAATAGGCCAGAGGAGTGAAGGGTTTGTCCATTCAAGCACGGATTTTTTCTCAGTAGATCCACTAAAATTGCTATTCCAGCCATTCCCAAAGTATATCCTCCTCTCTTATTCCCAAATCAAATCCAGATTCAAAAACCAATCAGTGGTATACTTCTACGAAACTACATATATCACTCTTTCTCTCCCTCCCTTCACCTGTTCTCGCAAATATTTTCCTGTAACTTCGGCAAATATCTATGTCTATATACATATAGAGAGAGAGAGAGAGAGAGAGAGAGAGAGAGAGAGAGGAGGAGGAGCGTCCTATTTCGACTGACCAATCATATTCTTTTCAAGTCGTTAAGCAAGGAAATTAATGTAGGGTTGCTATGTTTAATTAGCTTAAATCATCGGGCTAGTCTTTGGCCTCAAGGCAAGCCCTTTGAAATGAGCGTTACAAAAGTGAGAAATTACATTTTATACCCCTAGAGTTTGCACCTAATCTCCATTTGCCATCCAAACTAGGATTTAACACCCATTCCAATTAACTCTCGGAGGTTGTATGATTCGTTGGGTTTGACATTTAGTAATTCAGAGGTCTTACATTCAATATTTTCTCATACTTTCTAAAAGTTAGTCACTTTTGTTCCTCATAACATAAACATGTTTTATTCCAATTCAAACCATTCTCGGTAATTGTTGTTGAATTTACAAAAATAGTTAATACAAACTTATACACCCTAATAAATAAATAAAAACAAGAAAAAAAAGAAGACCCGTTCCAATTAAGTCCCATCATCCAAATCATCCATACTTGGTAATGGAAAAATATTACAAAAACATTACAAGTCATGGGCATGGAGATAATTTTGATCAAATAAATATTTATACGAGTTAAATTAGTGGAAGATTAGTAAATATATTAGCAAAAAAAAAGAAGATAATATGTCTAATAGAAAAAATTAAATCTTCAACAGAATCTTCAAAAAGATAAAAATTTCAAATCTTGATTCAAATTCACTTCATTTTACTTTGAGGAAAAAAAAAGAATAAGTAAAGATAGGAATAGAATGAGAGACATCACCTTCAAGTGGTTGGTCTAATAGATAAAAACTTAGATTTATTTGATTAATATTTGAGTCTTCATAGTTATGATAATTCGTAGAATTATACTAACTCTTTAGTTTCTAGAACACGTAATAGAATCTTCATTTTAGTCCGATATAAGTGTGATGGGATTCCTACAAATAATTTTGTAACACTAAAAAAATAATACATCTTTACAAATATGTAATAAAGGTTTATGTGTATATCCATCTTTATACCAAAAAAAGAAAATGAAAAAACGAGAGATGCCAAATGAGAACGAGATCGTCGTATACCAGTGTTGTGGGCCTGTGGGGTCACTGCTGGGTCCCGATATTTGCGGTAAAAGTCTAAATATTCACATTCCAATTTTTCCCCAGCAAGAAGATGACTATGATAGTATTACTCCCTTATAGGCCTACCGGCTAGCCGTCTCCTTCTCTTCTCTCTCATCAGCCTCAGCCTCAGCCTCAGCCTCATGGGATGTGAGGTTCCAAGGCTCTGCAACTCTCACTTTTCCCATGTTTACTGCCTCCCTCGCGTACCTATCTTCTCTTATCCTGTTATGATCTCACCTACTCTCTCTATCTCTCTCTAACCTACTAAAGAACCAACAAAACCCCCCATGCTTGCCTTGTCCTTGAGCCTCCAACACTAACACTAACACCAACACCTCCATCTTCAGGTCCCTTCAAACCACATACGTTCCCAGTCTCCTTTTATGCTTAGACTTCTATCTATCGCTCTGAACATAGATGCCCGTTTTAAATTCTTGATGATTTTCTATCAAAATCGTATTGGGCTTTTGAACTCTTGACTTATCTCGTTTGACTAGGGTCTTTGATCTTGCAGATCTCCAAAACCACACCGTTCTTGTGGGTTAGACCCAGTTTTTACAGGTAGGGTTTTCTATTAAGTTTTGGGCAGGTCTCCTTCGGGCAAGTCAAGTTAAGTTACTGAATTTCTGAAAGATTGTGGCTTTTTTTTTTTGAATTTGTGCAAGATTGCAGTTTTTTAGGCTTAAATTAAGTGGATTAAAACCTTTTGCCAAATTTTTCGGTGCATCTTCAGCTCTCTGAATTAGGGTTTCTCTTTTGGTGCTGGCGTTTTTGTTAAATAATTTTGATCAAAACATGGCCGCAAGTGGTCACTGTTTTATGGAGTGGAACGAGCAATATGTTTCAAAGGAGCGTGGCAACCGTGTGGTTCACTATTTCTTAAAGGATATGTCGGGGGAATCCATTCTTGCCGTTGTGGGCACTGAGAGAAGTGTTAGGCACATGTTCTATGTTGTTTCTGATGAGTTCTTGAATGTTCATGGGGGTGAGAATTCGGTCCATGCTGGCTTCAGATGGAGGTCACGGAGAGAGGTTGTCAACTGGCTCACATCTATGCTATCAAAGCAGCACGGGCAAGGTGGTTTTGCTGGTATATTTTGCTAAATTTTCTCATTGTACTATTGTCTTGCCAATTCTAGAATGTAAAATTCCATGTGACTTGTTCAAGATCATAATATGTTTCATAAAAAGCAATGTAAATCTTAAGCAGGTATCCATGACTGTAGAGAGAAACTCATTAACCGGCATTGTGTTTGATGATTAAATGTGAACCACACTTCTGTTAGTTGTGAACCCTCTAACAGGCTGGATATGACGACTGCTACCTTGCTGTGACTGCCATAAGAAAGGCACCTCTAGGGGCATTCCCCTAGCTGCTTGTTGAAATTCAAATCTTGGGATGTTTGGGTTCGGTTTGACCACTTCTCTTTTGCTGGCACTATTTGGTGATAATTATGATATGGTCTTATGTTTTAACGCAACTTCCAAATTTAGCAGAATTCTTGTTTGGTACTATGCTTGAGTGTTATTATGGTAGATTAGCTAAAATTGATTTTTTCATTTGTAGCATTTGCTGCACATTAAAGATTTAGAGTGTGCTTAGTTGCTAAGAGATAGCTAAAATTCAAAAAGTTTTTCAAATCAATGATAGTTATTAACCTTACGACAAAGTACTGTGGAATGACTCCATATGTCATGCACACAAGGTTGTGCATATTAGCACCCATGCTTTCCTTAATCTGAGTTGGTGCTTCAAAAGCACATGTAAATGTGAAGTTCTGCTATGGTGTTATTTGTTTCGATTTCACGGTTATTGCCACATTAGAATCTGAATGAATACAATTTGGTAATTCCTCATTGAATTTTTGCTAAGCTGCAGTTTTTGTCATCTGCTTTATGTGTTTTCTTTTTACTTTTCCCTTCAAGTCCCATAGATAACGGAATTGTAGATACCTCTACCATCCCATGAACTAGGGTTATACAACCCGAAATGGGGTGGGTTCGCGATCTAGATCACTTAAATTCCCGACCCAAATTGTGACTCAAATATCAAAATAAATACTAATAATTATGTGTATATGAATGTATAATTATATATAATCTCATCTAATAGAGGAAGCGATCCTATAGAAAACAAACCACGACCCAAAATAGTGTACCAATTAACCCTACCCCTACCACGTGTTGGAAGATATACTGTATCGCGTACCCGTACCTACCACGTACCAAATCGACCCATAATTCAAGTAACATTGAATTAGACATAATTGTTTTTATTCCCTTTTTGGAATCTTTTCAATAACATTATTTTGTGGCCCATGGATGAGTATTTGTTACATCGATATTAGCCATTTCTTGATGACGATATGATTACTCTAGTCAATTAACACTTTTTTGACCTTTTTCAATGATAGAATCGGCAAAAGATGATCCTGTGTCTGGAGTCGGTGCTCAACAAACCTACATGCGAGATTATAAGGTTTATCTCATTTGTTTTGTCTGCATTTGATTTGATTGTTTCTTTAAATGTTCTTCTGACACCTGTATATCAGGGTCATCTCGCAAGGAATTTGAAAGGACACACTTCGGACATTGTCTGGTCAGGTGTAGCATGGTCTTGCGGCAAACAACTCAAGCACTACCCAGCATTTTGCAGGAATGGGATTACAATAGTGGTAAGCGTCAAACAGTATTCCAAAGATAAATGCTTAAGGTGTAAGGCATGGGTATCAAGCTTGAGCAATAGGGACATGACATGTGTCATAACTCATAATTAAGACGATCCTCAGAGACTGCACTCTTGTCTAAGACTCTAAGCTCTGTACTATTAGGCATGAACGTCGAGATTCAAATCAATGAACTGTGCTAAGACTTGTAGGATTACCTTTATATGTGCCTTTAGTAGTAGATCTCACTGCCCTTTTTTGATTGTCATCTAAA